GCTTGACTGGACCAGAAATGATGGAATTTTTTCCAGTTGTAGTGGTTATGCATCTTAATGTCAGCACCAGTTTAAATCAATAAGTATTTTGTAGAGTTATTTTACTTCTTGTTTTAGTCATTGTATAACAGACAAAAAACAGTAAAGCATTTTATGTGTTATAAGAATAGCTAATGTTTGCTGTTATTCTATGAAAGTATTTGTTTAATATCCACAGTAACGAGTCATAGTTAGTTATTACTAAACACTATTTGTCGATTTTATATAAGCAACAATTAAATTTTACCTGGGAACAAGTGGCTAAGATAAGTAAGGGAAGGTCTAGGTGATTCAGGGTTTTGATTATGAGCAGGAGTTAAGATAAGTATACGTTTTCTCTTGAGAGTTATACAGTTTTTCTAAAGGACAACTTTCCCTGCTATTGACTTTAATGATGTTTTGAGACAACTTGCCTTACCTTTCACTGTTTGAGACAATGAGATTGTCCTGCTCTCTTTCACATTTTTGATCCTGACTCCACTAATTTTTTTGTTTCTTCCATAATGTTAGACTCTTATTTGTTTTAGGTTTGTTAGTAAAGGGATCCATAAGTTTTTTTTTTTTTTTTTTTCATTGTTATCAAGACTCACCCAACGATTTTCATGGAATGTCAGAATCTTATTTTTCATATTATTATTCTTTTTTTTAATTATACATTCTGAAGAGTTTTTTTATCATTTATTTTTAAAACAATGACCCTTACTCTTAACATTCACTTCCTTTCCTCCTCTTCTTGTGAGGTAAGGAGTTCTAACACATTTTCTTCTTGACAGGTCATTGATAATCTGTTCAAGTTGAACGCTTTATTGTTACAGATGTCTCACCTTCCCTTACCTAGTGTTCACTTGTATGGGTTAGTTTTCATTAACTTTTGTTATTAATGATTGAATAGAGAAAACTTAATTAGTAGTACAGTAGATACATTATGTTAGTATAGAGTTATAGAATTAAAGATTAGTGCTTTACTACTATAATGAGGGCTGGAATGCCAACCTTAGGAAATAAGTTTATCTTACTTACCTCCCAAGTGGTAGAACCTTATTTTCTTTTACTTTGGAGAGCAGTCACCTTTCCACAATGGTTTGCAGACAGTGAAGGGTGATATAGATGTGGGACGTTGTGAGCTTGAGCACCCAGATCTCACTCTCCTAACTTGTATCTCTTTTGATGATTTTTAAAAATTTTTTATGAATTTCTTCATGTGAGACTTGCAAATGGAGGTTAAGCCTGATAGTATTTGTAAACTGGAAGGATACAGTAAGAAAAAAAAAAGTTTTTTTTTATCATTATTACAATTGATAAGCACTCTGTTATTTGGATTTTAGATGTTCTTATGGGCTACAATGGAACAATATTTGCTTACGGACAGACTTCTAGTGGCAAAACACACACTATGGAGGTATGTTGTACATGTAATGAGAAAGAACTTAAGCTTATGAAGCATAAATGAACCTAAGTAAAGAATTACAATTGATTTTCTACAATGTACTTTCAGAGTGCTCATGAAAGTAATGATTTAAAATAAGTTTTGAAAAAATACAGGAATTTTCAAAGGATTTCCCCCATGGCTGCATTATAATTATTGAGATTTCTGTTAAATATTTATCTTGTTGATGTCACACTCAGAAAAAATGCCAAGTTAATTTTAGTTTAAGAGATTTGTGGTCTGGGAAAGTTTGATCATTCAGGAGCACATTGAGAGAATGCCAGATAATTTGTATATAATAATAATAATAATTAAAAACAATAATATTCCATAAAGTAAAATCAGGTTAAATTATAGATAATCTGTAAAGTATCTGCAAGTATTTCCTCTAATAAACCCAAGTCTTATCAAGCGAGAAAATTTACTAAAGATTTAATTGATTAGTGAAAGTTCAAATTGTCAGGATTGGTGTATTTTTAGCTCGTAACACTTTCATTTTGAATGAATCAGATTCTACTGATAGTGTTTTGTGTAAAGTAGTTGAGAGACTGATTCTAGTTCTGAAAGAGTTTAGGCATTTACACTTTGTAATTATAATCTTTTATCTCAAAGTGGTGGATATTTTTAACAGGTTATAACTTATTATTGTTTTCCTTCCTTTTAGGGTGTATTGGATAGCCCTACACTACAAGGAATTATTCCAAGAATAGTCAATGATATCTTTAATTACATCTATACCATGGACGAAAATGTGGAATTTCACATCAAGGTAAGTTGAACGTGTGTGTGTCTTTAATTAGTATAGTAGTTTTTAAAATTTATTTTTCTTTTAAATGGAATATATAAGTAAAGAAATGTTGCAAAAGTTATTGTATTCAGTGGATTATCAATGGCTTAATCGGCATCTATTTTGTTGATTGTAAGTGCCTTTTTTTTAAGTTTTAGATTTTTAATTGTTGATAATCCAAAAACCTACTTTTCTGTATCTTTAGAAAAATGATTCCTATTTGTTGACTCACTCTCAGTTAAATAAAATTTTGCAATAGGTTATTCCAATTATTTGATTATCTGGAAATTTCATTAACACTTAGTGATATAACTTGTTTTAACAGTAAATTCTTCAATTCTCTGTGAAATCAAAACTAAATTTTGGTAAAGTACATAGAAGTTTGGTTTATAACAAATGGAAAGTTGAGTAAAATAAGTCTTCATCTTGTAAATTTATAATGTCCACTACTACTACTAGCCATTTGAGTGTTTTTCAGGTTTGAGTACACATGCAAGTATTTCAGAATTGGATAGTTATGTAAAGCTGAATGTTTCTTCATAATTATTGTAAATTCCATACTTTAAATTTACTTTCTGTAAATTTTTTCAGACTTTGAGATGTAACGAATTAAATGCCACCCGTTTACTCTTTATTATTCTTTTGTTTTTCCATCGTTATTTTAATTTTTGAAGTATATTTATTTTAAATGTATCTCAAGGTTGTTTCTTTTGGAGCTCATATTGTTTGTTCTTGAGCAACTCCTGGGGTAGAGAATTTGTCACATAAATGTAAGTTTTTATTTTATGTTTTTTTTAAAGCTTAATTTTCTTTTTTAATTTTAATTTTTGTTTTTGTTCACACCAAATATTCTACAAACAGAACTTAATTAAAACAGATGTTTTTGAACTTTATATTGTAGCCTGAAAGCTTATGTTCCCGAATTATCGCTATCTTTATTTATTTATTTTTAAACATCAGATGTTTTGTTGTGAAGTTGTTTTCCCACACTTAGTGTGCGAGTGACCGAAATTCATGTTCTACTGTGCTGTAAATGGCTAAGTATGAAGCAAATTTCATGTGCCTAAGTAACATTTTACTTGGTTGTTAGAACAGGTTTTAATTACAAGATGTTTATAGAGTGATGACTTTGTTAACTTTGAATAATGATTGTTAAAACATTCTGCATGATGTTATCTTTTTGCTCAAGTATAATATTCTGACAATGTTGCAGGAAATTTGATTTGTGACTGTAATTCAAAAGCTCCATCAACTAAAAAAAATTCTTTTACAGGTTTCATATTTTGAAATATATCTAGATAAGATCCGAGATCTCCTAGATAGTAAGTATACAACTTAGTAGTTTGTTTTACCAATAGTTTACTATGTGTACAATCAAACAAACAACAACAAAATATTATACATTCACTGTAATAAACGGGGAAAGATAACTTCAAAAATGTTTTTTTTCTGTAAAAAACTGTGTTGTTAGATTCTAAACATTGTTAGATATTATAGTGATGATTAGATATATGGCAAGATATTTTAGTTAAACAATAATAACAATATTGTTTCCATAGTGAGTGGCTGCATGGCAACCAATCAGGTGCTATGCACTTCATTATTTCAGCTGCGTAATGGTGAGGAGTCTCAACACCTTGACGGCCTTAATGACCCTGGCAGTCAATAAGCCTAAAGCTGCTAGCATTGCCAAAGTGGCCTAATGATCCAATAGGGTCAATGATTTAAAATCATCCATGAAAAAAAAAAACAACTGGTAGCACACATCTGCACATTGCCTTGATAATGGTACCCATGAAAAAATTCATTCCACACATGGATTGAAAATATGAGAGGGAAGAGCGAACATTGTCCATGAACATTTTAAATGTTATAGTTCTAGAACATACGGTTAGATAGTTTAATATATTTAATGTTTTATTAGAAATATTTCAATGTTCAAAATTAGCAGGAGTATCAGTTTCGAGGATAATGAAATATATCCAAAATACAAAGAATATGGATAAGAAACTTTACATCTATATATATTGTTACGTCTCCGTTCGCTAGTTCAGATGTGAATCAATTTTCGACTCCCTAAGGACAAACATTTCAACTACAATAAAATCAACACACATAAATTGTTTTTGTTAAACCTATACTTTTAGTGTAAGATCATAATTTTTAATTAGCTCCATAATATTTTTACACTGGTTTACTTAAAGTAAAAGTAATTTTCTTCTCTTTCTAGTTTCAAAGACTAATCTCTCGGTTCATGAAGATCAAAATCGTGTTCCTTTTGTCAAGGTAAATAGTTTATCACTACCCAAACTTCTTTTCATAATTTATTATAAGCAATTGTACGATAAGCTTAAGCTCAAAACATTTTTTTCTTATTTAAATAAGTCCTGAAATTTAAGTTTCAGTAAAAAAATCCCCTATGACTTAATTGATTTAATCAAAAAAAGAACAAGATATTGGAATCGGGTGTATATTTGTTTTACGTTGACCATTGTGATTCCTGTGTCTCAGCAAGACCAGAGACTGTTTTCATTTCTGCATGTTTGATGAATGAAAAATGGCACTTTAATCACGTGTAGCGGGATTAGAAAGTTGAGAAAATGGGTCCTGGAAACAAACTACAACAAACATGAAACATCAGACTGCTGTTACTGACTAATTCCCACCAGGAAAAAAATCCAGTTCTAAAACTTTTGTATGTTAGGAATATATCTAGAACACTTATGTAAAGGCTTTAGTAATCACAGTATTTCCAGATTTCTTTCTTTATTTAAGATAACTTGTGAACCATTTAATAAATAGAACATTTCTGTACCTAACTTGCAGCATACTAGGCCTACTGATAGATTGCAAAAATGACAGATACATGTTTCATCTCAGAAGAATATTTTGATACCTTGCGCACCATTTAATAAATATAACATTTCAGGCCCGGCATGGCCAAGTGGTTAGGGCGCTCGACTCACAATCTGCGGGTCGCGAGTTCTAATCCCCGTCACACCATACATGCTCGCCCTTTCAGCCGTGGGGGCGTTATAATGTGATGGTCAATCCCACTATTCATTGGTAAAAGAGTAGCCCAAGAGTAGGTGGTGGGTGGTGATGACTAGCTACCTTCCCTGTAGTCTTACACTGCTAAATTAGGGACGGCTAGCGCAGATAGCCCTTGTGTAGCTTTGCGCGAAATTCAAAACAAACAATATAACATTTCTGTACTTTAATTGCAGCCTACTAGGCCTACTGATACATTGCAAAAATGAGAGGTACACGTTTCATAGCAGAAGAGTATTTTTTATACATTTTTATTTGTGACATTTGCTAGAAATTATGCCAATTAATATTTTTATTGTTTGTATTTCTAAGATTTATTTTTAGTAAGAAGATAAACACATTTATACATCATTTGTAAAACAAACTTTGAATGCTGCAATGCACTTGATAAAATAATAATGATCATAATTGCAAGCTATCTTTTTTTTTTTTATCCTACAGTTTGGATTAATTTTTAAACTACCTTCACAAGGTTGCAAAATATTGTGAAAACATCTTTTTTTTTGCAGTTTAGATTTTAAAAAAGCAAGCATTTATCAAACATCATGTACACTGATTAAACAACTGTTGAACACTGATAAATAACTATTTTTGAGTTTAATGTACATTGTATAACTGACAAATAACTATTGTTTAACATCATGTACACTGAATGAACAACTGTAGAACACTGATAAATAACTATTGTTGAGTTTAATGTACATTGTATAACACTGACAAATAACTATTGTTGAGCATAATGTACATTGTATAACACTGACAAATAACTATTGTTGAACATCATGTACACTGAATGAACAACTGTAGAACACTCATAAATAACTATTGTTGAGTTTAATGTACATTGAATGAACAACTGTTGAACATAATGATGAATAATAATGTTGAGTTTAATGTGCAATGAATGAACAACTGTTGAACATGATGAATAATAATATTGTTGAGTTTAATGTACACTGAATGAACAACTGTTGAATATAATGATAAATAATATTGTTGAGCATCATGTATATTGAATGAACAACTGTTCAACATAATGATGAATAATAATATTGTTGAGCATCATGTACACTGAATGAACAACTGTTCAACATAATGATGAATAATAATATTGTTGAGCATCATGTACACTGAATGAACAACTGTTCAACATAATGATGAATAATAATAATGTTGAGTTTAATGTACACTGAATGAACAACTGTTCAACATAATGATGAATAATAATAATGTTGAGTTTAATGTACACTGAATGAACAACTGTTCAACATAATGATGAATAATAATAATGTTGAGTTTAATGTGCACTGAATGAACAACTGTTCAACATAATGATGAATAATAATAATGTTAAGTTTAATGTACATTGACTAATGGGATATTGACACATACTAATAGATGTAAAGGCTAGTTTGCTGCATTACTCTAGATTTTAGGTATGTTGAGTTGTGGCATACTGTTTACCGACAATGTTTGAAACAAAATTGTTTCAATTTTATGAACCTGAGGTGTAATGTCATTAAATAATAATGTAGGTATGTATTTTTAATAAACCTTTCACATAATGTCATTAACTAATTGAATAGGTGTGTATTTTTAATAAACCTTTCATATAATGTCATTAAATAATTGAATAGGTGTGTATTTTTAATAAACCTTTCATATAATGTCATTAAATAATTGAATAGGTGTGTATTTTTAATAAACCTTTCGTATAATGTCATTAACTAATTGAATAGGTATGTGTATTTAAGTGTACTTACTAGACCGTGTTTTATGTACTATATGTTGTAACAAGTGTAAGACTATGTACTCGTTACTATATGCTAAATAACAAAGTTTGAACGTTACTTGTTCTAGGGGGCAACAGAACGATTCGTCACCTCTCCTGAGGAAGTAATGGAGGTGATTGATGAAGGAAAATCTAATAGGCATATTGCAGTGACTAGTAAGTATTGTTAATTTAGAGAAAAAAAAAAGACAACTTAAAACTAATTGCGACTATGGGTTAAAGGTTAAAATCTTCACATGAATATTTGTTATTTCTGCTTTGGGTTTTATGGGTATTCTAGTGTTTATCTAAAGTGTATTTTGGTTTGATAGGATGCTAATATGTGTGTAAATTTAATTTTTTTTTAATCTTGTAAGATGCCAGTGTTTTGTGTACCCTTTTTGCTGCAACTGTACAATATATGCCAACTTTATGTTTTTATAAATAAACATTACTAGTTCATTAACATCATATAATCTGAAACACAGATATTTCAAATTTATGAATAAACATTACTAGTTCATTAACATCGTATAATCTGAAACACAGATATTTCAAATTTATGAATAAACATCACTAGTTCATTAACATCGTATAATCTGAAACACAGATATTTCAAATTTATGAATAAACATCACTAGTTCATTAACATCGTATAATCTGAAACACAGATATTTCAAATTTATGAATTAACATTACTAGTTCATTAACATCGTATAATCTGAA